CCCCTACCGCTCGCCTACTCGCTCGCCCGCCCGCCAGCTCCACCCCACACCGCCCCACATCGCCACGCTCCACCCCACTCCCCCTGCTCGGCTCTGCCCCGCTCTGCAAGCCCTGCCCCGCAAACCGAGCTCCGCACTCTCTATTCTTCTGCATGTTCGTCCGTGCCCTGACTCCTGCTCGTCCAGCGCCTCCTCTGCCTGCCGCACCCTTCCTCACGCTATTCACTTTCGACAAGTGAAGTCGCGCCCAAACTCATCACGGCATCCTGTAGGGATGGTAATTTTCTTGATTTGTTGAGGATGTGTGATACTATAATGTATTTTAAGAGCAACTTACATGTTAGTTTTGGAGACGAGAGAAAAAGCAAGGAAATGTATTTTCTCACCACTCTAGGTAATAAGTAAAAAAGTGACAATAAAAAAGTTTTATATATTTTATTTTTTAGTGGTAACAATATGGTATATATATGAATCATTTATCGCGAAAACATGAATACTAAGTTGTCACGAAATTTAGTTTGGACAAAACAGAAATGTGGCAACATTTCAGAGGTACAGCTCGTAGTAACTTGGATTTTTCTTGTGAATGATTTATATCTATTTTCGTCTCCATTTGTCAGCATCCGAATTCCACATAAGTATTAAAAGAATGACCTGCCTCAGTCATACGTTCTTTGCATTTTCATTGATTATCATAAATCAACGAATATTATGCATCGTCTTTAATTGTTTCCTAGTATCGCTGCTTGATTTTTTACTATATCCATCTGAAAACAATTACCAGTTACCATTTGAGAACAATAATCACTTACATCCGCTCTCAATTACGCTTCTTCTACAGGGCAATCTACTCCCACTGCTGCATTCTCTAATCCTGCCTCACAAGTATCATTGATTATCTTCCTAATTTTCAATCTTAAATGGATGTCCATAAACGTACATCTTAAATCTCCTTAGTACAACGGTTCTGGGCCTCATTTTACAGTCCCTACAAGATGTCGTCTGCATTCCATTTGTAACAACTTTCCCTACTGTCTTACTTTCCAGATTTCCAGTGTCTCATTGTTTCTATTGTTTTCTTCACTTTCCTTCCGTCCAGTATCTTTCTCTCTGACCTCGTTGGATCGGTTCCACTTCTCCCCAAGTTCGTTCTTTTGCTCCGATCAACGATTTGCAAAATCTATTAGGATGGTATTTGCTACTGCTGTCCAACACTCAAGCCCAAATTGTCGAACTCTCTCTAACATCTGCTCAACCGCCTAATGTACTTAGATGTGAACGAAAAGACGAGTGTAAAGTAAATGTATATGAACGCTTTATTCACCATAATGCTTCTAAATGACCTCGTGTGTGAAATATTTGTTCATGTATATAATTCTATGAAAAATATATGCATGAAATCTATATCAGAAAGTGCTATAATTATTCAAAAGAAGAAGATATGTTTTGACCTCTGATCATATATATTACATACAAACACTAGTTGTTAGGCAAAAGTGTTACTTGCAAGGCAGTTATGACCCAATTATTGAAACAAATATAATTTCATTAATAATTAACTACGAAGTCAACTTGGATATTCCAATCTATATTCTAGAGAAAATACCACCGAAATAACCATCCTAAACATGTAGTGTTGTCATTTTTGATAGGCAAAATCGTATGCGAAAATCCCTTTCATCGAGCTCTTCGAAATATTTGGACGGTTCCCGTACCCACCTCGACCTACGAGATGACTTATGAAAGCTCTCGTCTTCACTAATGACATAGCAATCCCTATCAAAAACAACACTCCACAATACGCTCCCCATTTGGAACGATTCTGATTCGTAAAGGGCGTTGTAAAATGGTGAAGTGCAGTTGAAGGTATGCTTAAATTTAAACTTAAAGTTCAAGTTCGCCTTAAAGGTGATGGTGAAAAGAAAATGCCTCCTAAGTCCACCTTAAAATTCGTAAGAGCAACTTAGAAACATAAATAGGAACTTTGAGTAACAGTGGTGAACCTGCCCGTAAATACTTCAGTTGACGTTTTGCTACACATTTTCGAGTTCGGGCAACGAATTTTCGTCATTTGCAATTGACATAAAACAACGTTGAGTCTCTGCAAGACATAATTTTCATAGCATTTTTAAGTCGAATTACTAACTGAGAATACGCAAGACACCTCACATGCGAACAGTCGCCTTACTTTAACTTACGTTCTATGTCGAAAGCCAATATCAGCCAGATGAAGATGGATATATAATAATTTATTCAAATAACTCTGTCATTATATTAATTTATTATCATTTACGCCATCGATTTTGCAAATGTTTCCACAATATAAAAAAGTATTTATGAAGCTGATAAAGTGCACAAACTAAATTAATTCATTTTTTACGTTCGTTCAGGAACGAAACAAACAAAAAATGCACACAAAAGCTGAATATTTCATCGAAAATATCTCCTACAAATAGTTGCTTCAAAATCTCCTTTAATATGTTTTATAATAACGGCATAATTTTGAAGTTTTATTGCCTAAGTGTATTTCTTACACCGCTGCTATTGTGCGCGTCGACGTGCGCGGGAAGTAAACACGCCGCTCGAGGCATAGACTGTTTGCGGGGAGAGCGAAGTTAAGAATGTAACTTACTTGAGAAATTACTTTTAGAGCTTTTACTTGAGAAGTATCCTGTCGACGTCCAACTCCAACCATATTCCTCAAACTCTTTTGAACGAGCTTTCCACCACTCGGCAGGAAATTGAAAATTCTATTGTTGGGTGCGACGTGCAACCTCGACGCGCGGAATAACGCGACAAGGAGGTAATAATATCTTACGACAGTCTCCGAGGCTGCATTTTCGCCTCTTTGTGTTACAGGCAAAGAAGAAAGAAAAGTTTCGACGGAAGAATGTGCGAATGCTTCAATATTAGTGTGGACATCATAAAAATTATTCTTTTTTGTAGCTTTAGGAATGGAGATTTTGGAGTTAGATTACGATGTACATTTACATCTTACTACGGCTTTTGGACAAGTATTCCTTGAAGGCGTGGTTAAAATCTGTTTTTTTAGGTTGATATAAAAAAGATAATTCAAGAAAAGAGATACTTGTTGAACATGTAATATTATCTTATTTGCACCCTCATAGCTAATCTGCTATATTGCATTTATTACTGAAGATAAGAGGTTCCTGGAAGGAAATCAATGGAAAGCAAAAGTTTCTGTTTATCGATTCTATTGTATTGTTTGTGTGTTTTTGAGGAGAAAAAAATTGAAAATGAGAAGATAATTTTTACCCAGATGTTTCGATTTTATTATTTTTATTTATATAAAAAATAACTTGTAGCCAAAACTATGTGTGATGTTTGGAAAGGAGAAAAGCTCCATTTAGTGGTACGACCAGATAAATACCCTGTTCTAGGAAAGTGGAGAAAACAACAGATATTGAAGCAGGCAAGGAGCACTACAAATAGAAATTTTAAAATACAACAGGACGATAATTAGACCTGTAATAAAAATGAACCAAAAAACCGGAAGGAAGGAAAATTAATGAACTTCGAAACTATAAACAATGAGAATGAAATTCGAAAAAAAATAAAAACAATTACAGTAGTAGGGAAATGCATTCACTGGTATTCCTTTCTATCCCTCATTTTTTTATTTCTGTTCGCTTCCTGCAAAATTACCAATTTCGAAAAAAGAACATTTCGCTTCCTGTAATTCTTTTAAAGTAACTGGATTGAATGCGCTTGTTCGCTGTTGTGTGCGTACGGATATGGGAGTCTTATTACTTGCTTGATTATTTAGACGAAATGGAACGCTGAGTGGCTTGTTATTTTTCGATAATGAAATGGAATCGGAAGCCAGCTGCAGCT